CATATACGCACAAATACAACGATACAAAGCAATTACAGTAAAAATAACGCAAGCAGAATACGGCAGTATACACACCTCAATTTAAAAAAAATAGGATCGGCACGCTACGGGACATCACAATCCTATATCGGCACAGTGCTGCTAAAAGGTTGCCTATCTCTGTTATGGCGTCTTGTGTGTGTGTGGGACAATAACAAATGTAAATCACAGACCTAAAAATAAAACAAAACAAAAAACTAAATAAAACCACATTATAATTGTCTCTAGTTTTCCAAAGACCATTCTTATCACAGTAAACCACACCAAATGATGACTGAGCATCATAAAAAATTTAGGCACTGCTGTTTTTTTTTTTTGTTTTTTTTTAATAAATACAAAAATAAAACCATAAATTGTTTTGTTTATATCCTTTTTGTATTTATTTTCTTTAGCTAGTAGAAAAGAAATATATATTTTTTTTCTCCATTATGCCATGTGTTCCATAAGCGGTGTGCAGCGATGAGACCTCTTCCATACTTACATACCGGTCCATGTATTGAATGCTCAATTTGAACCAAGTTAGGGCTCTCAATCCAGTGAGTGCACAATAGAGATTTATTTGAACAGATACATCTTTTTTATATAAATGGTTTAATTTATTTGTTACACATCTCTTTTTATATTTTCAATGTATCTCATTGTATATTTTTATATTACACATTCTATTTTTACACTTCTAGTTCACATCAAATTCTCTTTAGTGTGATGATTTATATATTTGTTATATGATACACTCTGGCATTTTTTTTTTTACGTACATATTGTACTGTGTTTGGTTTATTTTTAGTTTTTTTACGTGTATACTAATTTTTTCTTTCTTTCAAGATCTGGACACAGGTTTCGATAAGTGTTAATTGACAAGCGCAATGTTTTGTGCTTTTTATTTCCATAACATGCTCCTACCTGACCCCAACTACCGATATCTGTATATTCCCATTTATGTCCATACCACTTATCTGCTAACTTACCCCCCTTCCCCTACCAGAATTTCTTGTTTCTCTATATTATTTGTAGAAAACACAGATGGCAAAACACAGTATCAGAGAGGATTAAACAACCATCTACTCTTGTTCTTAATGTCTTGAAAGAAATAGAGCAAATTGTATTCGAAAATAGCCCTTGGCCTTCAGCTTTTTTTAGAGCTTTTTTTTTTTTTAAAGTTTTGACGCAACAATACTCACAACTATTTCCGTTCCCTCTCAGCTACTAAAAGTGAGTAGGACCATATATCTTTTGTATTGCACTCTACACCTTTTTGGGACATACTGCACCATCAGTTGTCATTTTTGACTATTTCATATGAACTGCAAAGACGTACTTATATCACTCTGAGGAATACACCTACTATCAAAGTTTGTACCCTCTTCTACAGAGAATACCTTGGTTTTGGATTCATCCACCATACAGACTTTTTTTACCCTGGACTTTTAGTTTCTATCCATATATTCTCTGTTATCTCTCAGCCTGTTGTATGCTATATATTTATCTCATTTGGTTTTTAGTGGCGCTACCTTCTCTTTGTCTGTTTTTAGCATTTCTGTTGTAGGGCCTGTGAGGGAGCCTTTTTGTTGTGTATTGTGTAAATAGAGCGCGCTGATCCAGGTCCCCGCTGTCCTTTGAAGCATGGCGGGAAATACTAGACGGCACAGCGACCCCGCTGTCCCCAAGATGGCGGACACTCTCACACATGCACCTTGAGGTACAGTGCATCCATCTATCGAGAAACCCGGCTACCTAAACGGCTCAATAACCTCGCTGGAGGCTATATTTTACAGCTTTTGGGCTAAGCTGAGGGCAAACATGGCTACCCCCACCTCCTCATCCGCAAAGCAGAATCGGAAGAGCGAGCTTGGAAGGCCCCCTCTGGGCAACCGCTGCAAGCACACTTCTGTCTCCCCCAAAGAACGCCCGCTTGGACTGAGGGCCACCAAGGGCTTACTCCACACAAGCAGAGGCCCACAGGCCTGCACCAGTGCCACACCATCAGGACCTCATGCAATCCCTCTCCCGGGAAGGACTCGGACTCGCAGAGCCCCCAAGTCCATGGCTCAGTGGTGTTGGCTCCTACAAAGATCCAGGGCTGGATTGTCTAACCATCCTCTTACCGGCTATGTGTCCCAAAGTGAAAGACTCTCCTCCAAAGCCACTATGCGATGTGCGCTGAAAACCTCTGCAGGGATATCACACTGATTGGCACTACAGAGTTACGTTACTCCTTGCCTGCTCCAGCATCTCTGCTGAGGCACCCAGCGGAATATCAATGTTGTTTAGCACATAAACCGTTTTATCACACTCACTAATTGTTTATTTACACCTGTCAAAGCTACATAATCAGACAACCTAGCTTGTATCTCTTATGTTTCCCTCTTTGTCCCACCTCTGATTATCTCTCCTGATTAAGTATTGAAAAAATTTACATGTCCTCCGTAGACACGGATCCCTAACAGGACATCCTATATAATTCATAATGTGCAATTTAGCGTGACGTGCTTGGCTATCGACCAAAGCATGTCCTATTATAGTATTTCCCTCCTGAACTAAATCAGTATGTCTAATATGTCTCTCGTAATCAAACGCCTAGTTTAAGCTACAGCCTCAAACATCTCTTCCTAACCTGAACTTAATACAAAATTGTGCTGTTTCTTGCATGCCATAATATTGTTTACCCTGTTTTACTTATTAGCTTGTACCTGCTGTGGCAATACAAGTAAGTTTGTAACTCTAAGCACTGCAAAAATAATGTATTCAGTTTTTTTAAATTTTTTAAATCTATCACTGGCCACATCTATATACAATATACTCTTACTTTACATTATTTTGTGTCTTTTCTCACGGTTACTCTCAAATTGATATGAATATTTTTCAAATTGGCATATATTTTTATCTGGAGATCTAGTTTAAGTTGTGTCTCGTATAAACATAACAAATTAAAACGAGTTTAATTAAATTCTAGCCAATATTACTCCTATACCTAGTTTTGGGGAACCTACTGCCAAATAAACCCCTATTTGTATATAGAAAATACCCCGAAAAGGCAAAATGTAAAAAACATATTGGCACCCAGTTATTTAAATGGGGAAACAAAACAGATAAAGGGAAGGGATTTGGCAAAGCTTGTGGAACCATAAATTTGCAACCAACTCAATTTTGGAAGCACAATTACTGGAGAAATGTTTCCCATAAGATTGGATATTGATTTCTGTACAGACTTATTATTGTGGTTTATTTACTGCAGAGGCTGTGCAGCAAGTGGTTGATGCTTTTAAGGGTTAGAGTGTTGGAACACATCAATAATATTAAAAAAGGAATTACTACCCACTTGGTTCCGGTGTTTTGCAGCATTTGTCCCTTCTTCAATTTTATTTTTTTTAAATACATTGGTATAGAACAGGTGCATGCTTTTTTGGGGGAGGGGGTGGTAGAGCGAAACATACTGAATACACAGATTTGGATACATTGGAGCCGAGGCATTTGAATATTTAGACTCTGGTGTGTTTTTTTGTGATGTGATCTACACCTTTAGAGCGGCGACCTCGAGTACCAAATCCTTAAATTTTTATAGTATATGTATTGCTTCGTTATGCTGACCTTATGTCTATTCTATTCTGCCTAGTACAGTCATGGGCGATCGTGTACTTATGGATAAATCAGTTTTGCCATGGTGGACACTTGCTTGCTTATACCACCTACTGTGTCGATGTTCTCAGCATGTTTCTTTAGTGTTTAATTTAGAAGAAGCTAGACTACTCTAGTGTGACTACTGCTGCTTAATGTCTTATAAATGATATGAGCCACTTTCACGGTTTTCTTTTTAACTGCAATTGTAAAACAGTTGTCTCATGTGTAGCATTTCACTTTTATGAAATTGTCACTACCAAAAATATGTCTGTTCTGCTTATGCCTTAATAAAAAAAATTGACTGACAAAATACATTTTATCTTTTTCGCTCTCTTCCCATTGTAGGGTTATATTATTTTATACATGCACTCTCACTGTACAGTAAAGAATCACCGTTTAGTTTGTGCATACCCTATGTATACAACATGCATATGTTGACAAATTGACAACAATTATGTGAGTAGAACTTTATCTGCTATCCATGCCTAGTGTTGGTTTAAATATATATTTTTCAAGTACTAAGAGATCAATGTATAACACTATCGGCGCCTGGAACACATTCCAATATGGTGATGGGGTAGATCTCAGGATTCTATTACACGAAAAACGGTGCCAGCTGTAGAAGGAGGTGTGGGCCCAAGGAAGTCCAGTGGAGGATGAAGAAACTATAGGAAGGATGGAGTTGGAAACGCCCACTGGACCACTAATGACAGTAATAGACTTGAAGGAGGGGATATTTAGGGCATATACAAAAAAAAAAACAAGCGCATACCGCACTCAAATTGATGCAAAAAAGTATATAGTTAATTGTAATCAAGCAAAATGTTAAAAGGTATATATTGACATTACATAAAAGGTGGCAAAAACAGGTGCTGTATAATTTCATATAGCTGAAATGTCACCAAATGTGCCCAAAAAGCTTCTATGTCAAGTTATATACAAATCAGGATCTGTCATTCATGGTACATTGATTGGAATTAATCATTCATCTAATCTAATATACATAATAGTCTTATTCTTCAATTGAAAACAGAACAAGCTTTTTTAGATATTCCCCAAAAAATAATTTGCACATAATAAATGCACATAAATGCTCATTTGCACATAATAAGAGTGTTGCATATACGGATTGTTTATCTTTTTTCTATTCCCTCTCTTAATACCCAGTTAGATGCAGTTTTTTTTTTTATACTTCATTCAGGACTTGTGAAGTAGTTGAGAAGGAAGGCAACTACCTAGGGGCAAAAATGAGCTTTTCAATATGTGTCATAATATTTGTGATGAATCCATGTTATATTATATCGTTCATGGTATAGTATTTTTTTTTCCAGACCTGAAGTATATTTGTAAACAATCCCTTGTTTAACCAGAGCCAACCAAGGTATGGTAGGTCTCTCAGTACAAATAAAGGAGGATTGCTTTTACTCCACATTGTAGGACCTTAAAGGGACATTAGAGGATACAGATAATCAATATTTAGTGCATTATGTGTAGATGATAAGTTACAAAGCAATTCAAAAATACTATACATACAATAAAAAGGGGCACTTTCATTTGCTGCACCTCCATATTCAGTTTGCACTTTCCAGCCCAGCTATTGATTCAGCCAATCATGTTGCTCAATTAACTTTCTATACCACTACTGAGCTTACAGCATATACTACATGAATACAGCAAGGGATTCTTTTTATTGTAGAAAGGCAACCTCTTAAATGCAGCTTTATAAATATTTGTTGTATTTTAGAGCTAGAATGAAACAATTCTAGTTTTGAGAAAAGGTCAGGACAGGTGAACTTACATAAAAAAATAACATTTAGTTCTGCTGGCAGTTTTCTTTATCAGGTTTTATTCTTTAAGAAAAATAGTCCTAACTCCACACTGTAATGTTACCACTGATCATGTGCTATGGTGTTTTGCATCTTACAGGTGGTAATTCTGACACAGTGTACTCCTTACACCATGCCCAGCATTGCCACAGAATGTGCAAAAATGTTGTGATGTTTTTGCGTACAAACGCAAAGATAAGTTCTGGTCAAACATAAATGACATAAGGGTGACTATTTCACAGGTCACATACACAGTTCATTGTCCTCTTGTGGTTTCCTGCCATTTACAATCTAATTTCTTATTCATTGTATTTTTCTTGGTATTTGACCTGGCTTGCTGTCATTTACTCTGTCACCTGTGACCCAACTTTGTTTTTTGACCCAGTGTACTCCTTTGACCTTGGCGTGACTCTGGCTTTTGAAATTTCACCTCCCTGGCTAATCTAAGGACCAGTATCCTCCCTATGTCTATTTTTCCAGTGGGATAGTATTTGGATTCAAGTCATTTGTTTTTGGTCACTACAATTTCTTGGCAGATGCTTGGAGTGCTTCTTGATTCTTATACTACTAGGACTACACCTCAGAGTAGCAAGCTACCATTTTAAAGGCCTACCATATGGGTTTATTACAAAGCATTCTATGTGGAGGTCTCATTACCTTCCATTATATAGTAGCACAAGTAAATACAGCTTTAGTATTAACTGAGGTAATATGAGTTTGCATAAAACTCCTACTGTGTGGGAACTTACATTACTAAATTCTGTCGACTACAGTTAATATCTCTGTAAAATAGTCTGCAAACATCTTAACTAGATTTTATTCTGGTTCAATATAGAGAAAATGACATCCAACGTTGATAACCAACCGGTAACATTTTTTCACTTGAGAGACAGTTTTGGTAACACCACATATTTACAGGTAGCCAAGTACTTTCATGTTACGAATAGGCAACAAGTGTGCCATTATCCTATAATGCACTATGTGGACATCAGAGTGTTTGGTTTTATTCTTGAAGATACTAATCACTAAATAGTGATTGTTATTGTATCAGTTTTGCCAGGTTAAATGGTGTCTGCACAGCTTATGTATCCTTTATTTGGTCTAAATGAGTAGATCCTAGTCAAACAAGACATTTAACAATCAGGATTGATACATGAATCTATGTTGCGTTTGTGTTCTTTAGTTACACTTAATGTGTAAAACTTATTATGAGCATAACTGAAAATATTAGTTTTTAACATTTTATTCATAATTAATTTTCTGTAAGGTATACATTTAGCTTATTAAAAGAAATCAATGTCTGTCCTTTAAAAACCAATATATAATATAAATGGGTGAGCCTTAAGGGACAGTATAGTAATCTAAACCACTTTAGCTTAATGAAGCAGTTGTGCTGTATAGATCGTGCCCCTGCAGTCTCACTGCTTTATTCTCTGCCATTTAGGAGTTAAATCACTTTGATAAAAAGTACTAGTCACACCTCTCTGAATGTGCCTTACACAATCTTCCAAAATACTTCCTGTAAACAGGAGGGAACAGGTAAAATTGTCAGTTGGGCCTTAGCACCTGCGGTGGCAGTACAACACATTACACATAACATATTATTTGTTTAGTTTTTTACCTCCTCAGACTTTGCGTTGGGGAGGCTGGTGCAGACAGTTAACCAAGTGGCTAAATTTAGGCTGACGGCTGCAGGTACACCGGCAAAGTTGGCAGCTGGCAAGCATCAAGGAGGAGTGAAAAAGCAATGAAAGTCTCTTCCACAAAAGAGCCTCTGCCATTTCCAGCTCTGCATGGCCAGTCTGGAAGGAGCCCATGTCTGCAGTGAGTTCAAGGCCAATCCTGAGCAGTTGCATAGGGTGCACCTCATCTAGGCACCTAAAGGTGGGGAGTATAGAGATGAGTCCTGTCACAGGGGGCCCAGGAAGTGTCCATCTGGCCACCTGTAGGTACCTGCCTACTCTGCTGATACATGATAGAGGGGAGGTTGGGAGCAGCGGATGCAGGCAATTGGTGGCATGGGAGCGCTGATCTTGCAGTTCCTCACACGCCCTCTGTGATGCCGGCCTGGCATACTAGAGAGAGCATTGGAACTGCAAGATTATAGCACAGCCCCAAATTAGACCTCAGGGAGAGGTAGGATCAGCCTCAAAAAATAAAATTAATTTGTGAGGGTGTGTCAGCATCTGTGTCTATCTGTGAGAATGTGTGTGTGTCAGTGAGTTTGCATATCTGTCAGTCAGTGTGTATGTTTTTGTGTCTGTCAGTGGATGTGCTTCAAATCAGTGAGATTGTGTTGCAAATTGATGTTACTGAAATATCTTCACACTTCTCAAGCACCGTCTGAGCAGCTATACATTTAGCATAAAGAAATACATTGTCAAATAATTATATATTTTTTTATAATTCTAACATAATTTAATTATTTTTAATGGTTCATTGTTTAACTTATCGCTTTATTTTGTAAATTTTTCCTACATCATTCTTTATTCATGTGAAATATATACTGAAGTGGAAAAGAAAGCAAGACCTTCATAAATCGTAAATTGTAAGGTTTTATTTCTTGACAAGATCCTTCTAAGTTTATTAAGGTGACATTATGTTTCAGGAAACAAGCAAACATGTACATAAAGGTATATTTCTTTAAAAAAAAAAAAAAAAAAAGTGTGTGTGTCTGTCAGTGGTTGTGTGTCTGCCATTGAGAGTGTGTCCAATTAGAAATATGGGTGGGAGGGAGATTGTCTGCAGTAAGTTTGGGTGTGAGTGCCAGTTAGCTTCTGTGATTTATTCATGTGGAAAATTCTTTTTAATATATATATATTTATACATTTATGTGCTGCAACAATTCCATTGGCACACTGATGACAATATGCTGATGTCAGCACGGGCATGGAGGATTGCCCTGCTCAGGGAAGTGTTTCCAAGAATGGCTAATCACAAAAGACAGGAGGCGGTCTTGCGCACCGCTTAGGGATGCCTGGGCCATCGTTATGTCATTCTGGCACCAGCATCACTAAGTGTCGCATGTGGGAGCAGAGCAGGAAGATCACAGCTTCCTTGCCGTCAGCCTACAGTACGCGCAGCTGACCACTTGCCTTGGCGGGAGCGTGTTAATAAATCCCAGGCGCCAGGACAAAATTCCTAGTCACCTTGGTGACCTGGGATTCATTGAGCCTTGGGTTAAAAATCAGGTTACAGAGCAGGAGATTAAAACGTCTAAAGTAAGTTAACACTTGATTGAAAATGAAACTAATTTTTTTTCTGCAGTCTATGTTGGTCACAGCCAAGGCTGGTATGGCTAGGGCTATATGGACAAAAATAAAAGTGATTTATCTCATAAATGGCAGAG